ACCTCCACCACGGCCTCCACCACGGCCACCGCCACGACCACCGCCACGGCCGCCACGGCCGCCACCACGGCTAAATCCACGTCCAGACATTGTATTCTATTCCGATCTCGTACGATGCAGAGAGGCTCGTGGAGCAGTTTGCTATTCCGGAAGTGATAAGGACTTGTGGCTTCGAGTAGCCAAATGGATGGACACTGCTAAATTCATTTTTAGCGAATGGTAAAATCATACTTTTCAGCCACATAAATCGAGCTATTCAATATGGTATGTTGAAGTGAAAGGTTGCTAACTAGGATCCGACAAATGACGTCTGTGGTGGTCACGCTGCTATTGCTGCTGTTGCTGCTACACAAGGCTGATAATTTTCGCGTGATCAACTCGTCAGATGACCCACTGCTCGGAACACATGCACATTTTAAACCATACGCGAAAGGACATGTCGGATACTATGGAGACCCAGACATTCCGTCGTCTGATGGGCTTAAAGGCTCATCGTACTCGCTAGATACGCCGCGAATTTTCTTCAGCGCTCCACTGCAGCGTACAATTTGCTCTAAATATGTCATATCAATAGCTCTGACTTCCTCTTTTGTTCTATAGAGTCCTGTCCTGGAATGGTCGGGCCTGGACAAAACGGCGAGTACTACTGCTTTAGTCGCGAATACGGCTACTGCGATCAAAGTAGCGGATTGTGTATCTGCAACCATGGCTATGCTGGGTTGAGCTGCACAGCTTGCCAGTCAGGATTCTTAAAACAAGGGGGTTTGTGCTATGCTAAGAGTAAAGTTTCTTTGTGTCTAAAAATCTTAGCAATGTTGTTTATTTGATAACAAGCGTTTGCCGCGTAGAAACCTGTCCCAACGATTGTTCGAAAGGCGGGAAATGTGATTATTCCACGGGATTGTGCACATGTGATTCCACACGAAGTGGTATAGATTGCTCAGAACGTTTCTGTGCTTTTGACGAGAAATGTGTAAGCTGCACAAGCACAAGCTGTTTGCAATGTGTGGAAAAATTCTATGTTGATCCAATAACACAGAGTTGTGGTACGCTTTGACTTATATGCAAGATGTGTGTGTGTGTTTTAAATGACCTGTCCAAATAATATCGATCAGTTTCCTGTGAACAATACGATCCGCGGTGCCTACAGTGCGATTTACATGGCTGTCTCAAGTGTGCAGATTTGCAGCTGAACTCTGTCCGTCGCAGTGGACAACGTCAAATTGACCAGCCGTTGCCTAACGACGAGCTTATCCGCGAATTCTCGCAAACCTTTGTGTATGGAAGTCAAGATCCGCGAGTTTTTGATGAGGCTGAATCTTATACGCTAGCACCAGCCTCATATACGTTGCTACCGTTGAATGAAAGCAGTGTAGCCTGCATTCAAGGTAGCAACGCGAATTCTGAGTGGGTTTGTGCATCTTTTTCGGAGTCACACCGTGTGTGTGGTCATCGCGGGGTATTTTCGTTCGAGTCACCTCTTTATGCCACTACCGAAGCTGCAGGAAACCTTACTGTAACTGTCAAACGATCTGGAGGAGGATTGGGACGAGCCGTTTTACTGTACGATATTGAACACATCACCACAACACCTGGAGATGTTTCCCCCACCATGTTTTACACAAGCTCGCAAAGGCTGGACTTTGCGCCTGGGGTTGTATCTCTCGCATTTAAGATTCAGATTCACGACAATCATCATATTAATGGTAACAACTCATTCAAGCTTCGACTTCGTGAACCGTTTGCTCCAACTGATGAGCTTAATTTGGCACCAGCGACGCTCGGCAATCAGTGGCGCACCTTTGTGACCATTGTGGATGACGATAGTTCACGACCAGTTGCCAATTTATCGCATGTGGTGGATCCAGAGTCTACACTACTAAAGGGTGGAACTGCTGGTATCCAAATGAGCTTTCAGATTCATAGTGTACTGGGAAGTGGGGTCCCCGGGCTTGATCCTTCCAATGAAGCTCTTTTCCACATTACGTCTTATGCTATCGAAGATGATTCAAGTTTTGATGCTGCAATATTTCGCCCACTAAAACATGGGACTATAACGCAATGTGGGGGACCAGATAAATCCTTGCTCACTTGCACATGGATGCGTGAAAATTCAGGTAATTACTCGGTTGCTATTCAACTATTGTATCCTGGAGGGTTGCGCGGAGATTATTTTAAAGATGCTTGGCTTGGAGAACATATTGCGAAAAGTACTCCTCAGGTGTCACACATTGATCGCCACATCAATTTCACCTGGAACACTGGACCAGCGTTCATTGGAGCTCGAGGTCACTACTCAGCGCGATGGAGTGGTTGGCTCAAGCCAGTCACTTCAGAGACAATCATTATTGCGATCTCGGTAGTAGGATATGCACGTTTGTGGGTCGACGACTCACTTGTGATTGATCGTTGGGATGCTGGAGGTGAAATTAACAATAATTTTCCGGTGATAAAGGCGAAGGCTGGAATTGCACTAGACGTTGCAGAGCTGCATTCTTTGGTATTGGAGTACCGAGCCCCACGACAAGGTAAATTTCACGCCCAATTATTATGGAAATGTGTCAGCAATGGAAAGATGGAGGTTATACCAGCCCATCAGCTCTATTCAGGTAGTCATATAAGGGACTCTCCATTTACTAATGTGCTTGTGACGCCAGCATTGACAGCAAGTCCAGAATCGTCAACGTCTAGTTTTAATGCTGATCATTTATCCATGTCCGCACTCGAGGTGTTTGCAGGCAAGACTTTTACATTGAGCATCTTCCCTCGCGATGATTTCGGCAACAGGCGACGCTCACGAGATCAATCCGGCCTTCAACATGATGTCATCTCTGCAACGCTGACATTAGCTACAGAGCAGAGCTCTGGGGTTCAGAGTACTCGAACAGAGGATGCATTGCTTATGTGGGATCCGAAACCGGATGTCTTTCGTGTGGTATTGAGACCACAAGTCAGTGGTGACTACTTCTTGACGATCATTCTCAACAATGTCTCTCTAGCAGCAAACCCATTCGAAGTAACTGTCTTACCAGCTCAGCTCAATCCAGCACAATGTGTTCTCTCTGGTCCAGGTCTACAAATTGGTCGTGTCGCTGGGCAAACTGTGATTGTCGAGCTTGAAGCGCGGGATATGTACGCAAATCGAATATTTACAGGAAATCTTAACAATCTGAATCTCCAGGCGTCGCGCTTAGACAGCACAGTCCCAATCGTAGCAATGGGTCAAGTAGTCGACAATGCAGATGGAACGTATAGAATCATGTATACACCTCGTGTGGTCGGCAGTTATAGCGTCTCGGTCACGTGGAATGGTGTCCATTTGCATAACAGTCCGTATGCAATTACTGTCGTGCCTAATATTGCTGTGGGATCGACAAGCAGCGCGGAAGGTCCTGGAATTGTTTTTGCGAAAACAAATGTCCAAACTAGCTTCGAGGTAACAAGTCGAGACTCATCCGGCAACAACGTGCTGAGTGGTGGAGGTGCATCAACCTTGGTAGTGGTGCTTGAATTTCTCGGTAAGAACAATGTGAGCGGAAGCGCTTGCACCGATCTACTCAATGGACACTATACTTGCATATATACAGCACATTACGTCGGCATCACACGACTACATGTTATATTAGCTGACCAAGCTGTCATTGGGAGCCCGTTTCTTGTCAATGTCACTGCTGGACCAGCATTAGGATCGCGTTGTGTGGCGTCAGGTGATGGCTTGGTTTCAAGTACGGCTGGACAACGCACACAATTTATTGTTAGTATTTACGACACATTCGGGAATGAGAAGGCTGACGCTGGTAACGAGAGTATTGACGTCACGTTCACAGGCCCTGATTCAGTTTTGACAACAGTAAATGCGGATGTAATTATATCATATGTAGCCGCAGGAGCTTATCATGTGGCTTATACGCTTAATCGGAAAGGCAGCTACAAAATCAGCGTTAGTGTGGATGGTGTCGCGGTTGTGTCAAGCCCATTTAACGTCTGTATATATCCTAATGTGGTGTCTTCGACTACGACATCGTTGGATTTACTCTACCCAGATCTCCTAACGACACTTGTTGATCCGCCACTGGTCTTCAGAGCAGGAGCTCTCATTAAGTTGAGGCTGACCACCCGAGACGCTTTCGGAAATGTGCTGGATGATGGGGTCGAATTTATCCACCTCAATGATGCGGAACGCGCTTTTTTGGATGCTCCGATTATTGACGAGAAAAATGGAAGCTACCTTATCACCTTACGTCCCCTCCAAAAAGGCGTTTTTTCTTCTTTTATACCAACGTTAATGGTACCTGGTAGTGTTAATGGTTCATACTACTCTGTAAGTAAAGTCCCCGTGAAAAGTGCACCAGCTGAAATATCACCGGATCATTCGCTGGTGTTGAAACGGCAAGATGCAGCAATAGCTTTCGATTTTAGTGCAAGACCACCGTTTCGTACGCACTCTGCAACGACTTTTAGTGTTTGCTGGAATGGATTTGTGCTGCCCCTTTTTAGTGAAATATACACCTTGGAATTACATGCCCTGGGATCAGCTAGTCTTCGCATCGGTAGCACCAAAGTAAATGTCCAAGATGGTGCTACAAGAGCATCTCACTTGATTCGTCTTACAGCACGAGCACTTGTGTATTTTGAACTTAATTTTTCCAAATCAGATCAGGTAGCCGGCAGTAGCGTAAATCTTACTTGGAGCAGTCTGTCGCAATCGCGCGAAATCATTCCATCGTCTCAGCTTTATACATCTTGGAATATTGTCAACAATGTTCCACTCCTCAACATCAAGCCCGCTGCTGCAGATCCCACCATGTTTACTCCAAAATTTGGTGCCTCAGCTCAGATACGCGGGTCGGTGGCAGTGCAAGCAGTAGTTGATGAGTCTTTGGATTTCGATGTCGTGGCTCGCGATAGTTTCGGCAACGAGCTTGAAGACAACGCCGAGTGCACACTATTCGTGTTGCTCCCGCAGGTGCATAATGAAGTCGATTTGTCGATCAGCGAAGTGTACAACGGCTCGTACAAAGTCACTTTGATTCCTCACGTAACGGGTGAATTTTTGCTGTACATCGCCGCTATTCCTGATGCGATGAAAGCAAAGGTTCCCTCGGGCAACGATGTTCTTGTGGCTTTCTTGGCTCCATTTAATATCAAGGGCAGCCCGTTTCAACTAGACATAGAACCTGGTCCGCCCAATGCAGCTACCTCGACACTCAATGGTGGAGGCTTCGTTTTGACATCTGCAGGGGTTCTCACTTCATTCGAGCTGGAACTTCGGGATAGCAGTTCAAATTGCCTTACTGCATTTATGCTGACTTCGTATTTCGATCAAATCCGAGTCAAACTAAGAAGCTTAAGCACCGGCGTTGAGGTTTATGCAAATGTTTTCCAGATTAGCGGAGAACTCCAAAGCGTTTTATCGGCCAGCAGGGTACGCGTTGAGTACATAGCTACTATCGCTGGCCTGCATGCCCTGTTGCTGAGTGTGGACAAAGGCAAATTTTATGAGCAGAAAACAGCAACGCTACAAGTTTATCCTAGTGCAGCCACAGCAAGCACGTCTTTCTTGTCTCCTAACGGGGCAGGAGCAGCCGCAACAAATACGGGACTTGGACCGCAGATCGTCACTCAAAAGGTTCAGACTTATCACGTCACAGTGCGGGATACATTCGGCAACATTCGTGCCAAAGGTGGTGACTACTTAGTTTCTCGGATTCATGGCCCTGACAGCTCGACGGGTAACATCACAGATCTAGGCAATGGCGACTACATTGTGAGTTACCGTACCATGCTTCCTGGAGCATATGAGATCGAGACTCTTGTTGCTGAACCGCAGCATGGATTGACCGGGTATTATTATGTTGATACAAAAACTTTCTACCGAAACTTAGCACCTACTGTGCGATTTGTGGACACAACGATCGACTTCGATTGGAGTAAGAACGAGAGTATGCGAGGCTACCCGCGCATCGTTTGGCGTGGATTCCTTTGTCCAAGTTTTACAGAGGAATACATGTTGTGGGTTAACGTCCAAAGCGATATCGGAAGTGCGGCTGGAATATATATTGATGGCAAAGCCGTAATTGATGGCTTAAACACTAACGCCATTTCTGGACGCGTGATGCTCGTTAGCAATCGACTCCATGCCATCGTCGTAGAGTACCATAGTGCCTCACTACAGCAGAAGCCAGGATACCTGTCTTTATTTTGGCAGAGTGCACGACAACCATCGCAGCTAATTCCCACGCAATCTCTATTCGCAGGGGCGACTGAAATATTACCCCGAACGCAGCTCGTAGCTGTCAATTAGAGATCAGCGAACTAGAATATTTTACATTGCTAAATTGGTCTTGATGGAGGCCTAAATGGTGGATTTCGTCCGCCAAAACGAAGCTGTCCCGACTCTTTTTTACCACCCAAACCGCCTCCAAGTCTCCGAGGCTTCCACCCTTTCATAATCCGGCTCCGTTCATAGTCCACCAGGATCATTGCTCCATCGATAACGCGTCGGTGGGCGTGTCTGTATGCTCGTTCAAAGTCCCGCTCGTATTCGAACTCGACAAAAGCGTAGCCCTTAGACTTGTTGGTCTTTTTGTCACACACAAGCCGCACGCGGCGAACGGGCCCGTATTTATTAAAGAAATCCAGAATCATTGACTCCGGTGTGCTATACGACAGCCTTGCTACAAACAGGGTAGCATATGGATTGCCTTGGATCTCAGGGTCCTTAAAGGCGTCAAATATAGCATTCGAAGCCCGCATTAGTCCTTTGTCATGAAATGTCGTGTCCGTGCCATCGATGCTACCAATCTGGGCCGGATTGTACTCCTCCGCGAACCAGCTGCAACATTGAGATGACGTTCTGATGTCGGTATGCCTAATTTCGTTGCGACGTCGACTTGCGCTTCGAGTTCGCCGTCGCTTTCCCATCGTTCTCTCTAAAGATGTAGTGCACAAATCTTTACACTTTGTCAAACGATAATTTGGTTTCATTTTTGTATACGGGGTTGCCGCGCATCTCGCACAGAGCAAACCTTGATTCTCAAAATCCATTAGCCAATGCACAGAGTAGCAGCAGCAAAAACAAAGCTGGAATGCATCTCGCAATACCATTAATATGTTATACATGAATTTATAAATTATGAACGGTATAATTTTATTTGTACTTCGAGTCATCGATATCTTAACGAATGTTTTGAGTTTCTGATTGGAAAGGACGCCTTTTACATATATGGACATGTGATCTACGTCTAAAATCGCTATGCCATTCGGTGTTCTACAAAAAATGTCTTACGAAAGTTTCAAGGGCTCCTATAGGTCTTACTAATAGCAATTTGGGTGACAAAAAATTGATTTATACATCCCCTCAAAGCCGTGGCTCGCTTTCTTGTCGCACAAGCGTGTGTGTTGTGTTTGAGGGACTGTTGGGTCCAACTCCTTCTCACACTACCCATAAATAAAGGCGAGAGCTAACGAACTTTTCCAGGAGCTAAGACCTGTTATCGCCGCAATGGCATCAAATTCTCTACCGACTTCTTGGAGGTGCTCGTAACAGGTACGGCCATACACATATTCTTCTGGAACTGAAATCAATAATCTTCATGCAAGTTCCGAAAACTCTTATGGAGGTGGGCTGATGACTCATCAAATTCCACGAGAAGAGAAGTGCGTAGCTTGTAACGGTTTCGACTTCCTCGAGGCTGATTCCTTGGTTAAGACCGCAACGAGAATTCTGGCTTAAGGAAATACAACGCTTCACAATGTCAAACCTCTCGAATATTACTGGATGTCTCAAACAAATTTGCATCTGTCCTCATCGCAAGACGCGCAGATATCATATCATTGTCTGGCATATTCAATGCCCTGCGTTTTACCTTCAACTTTTGACAGTCATGTGTCGTACATAATCGCATGACACACTCGAAATTAACAGGAATTTTCATGGCTTCACAACACCCTGTACGTTAGTGTTAAAACATACAACCCTGGACTGCCAGCCTTACCTCTTTTGGAAGAAGTCCCCTCTTTGGCCGGGTTTCATTGACGTGAACTTTTACGAGGTACAATCAGCTTGAATTATTTCCAAAAGCTATCTAACGTATCTGACGCCAACTGGGGATCATAATTGGATTGGGGTTTTGTCGGACGAATTTGCGTGGGAGCGTGACCTTTCTCATTTCCAAGCCAAAAATCAATGGGTACGCTGTAACAGGGTCACACTAGATGATGTGATCACGCAATGGTGTGAGTTACATAATACAGTGTGAGTTACACAAGATGGTATGACCACACGATGGTGTGGCTACACTGAAATAAGAAGTCAGTACGTGTCTGGAACAGCCAGTAGTTATACATTTAATTAGCTTTTCTATATAGATAGGAAAGCCTAGAGATTTAGATATAGGCGGCTTTGCCGCACATAATACTGAGAAATACAGCTCACATGTTAAACGGGAGAGCGGCTTTAACTTGGTTAATGTTTAAAGTACGCTTGGAATAAGCGGATTGCGATCCTCTACACTCGTACTGATTCTAAGTATGGAACGAAGGTAGCCGACCTTGACTAAGCTTCCTCAAAGCGAAAGTGCTACAACAGCCCCGCTGCGCTTTACACCTGCGTCGTTACGACTTACCCTCTGTAAGGATGTAGCAGCTCTCCTGTTTGCCCCAGTGCATGCAGAACTGCTTAAAAAATGATGTCTCCGCTAGGCTCTGTGGGCATGAAACGCTTGCTTTGCAAGGGCCTGAAGTGATCAGCGCGCGCCTAGAGACGTTACGAGCTATGAAAATACTCTGCTAGAGCACCTGCAGCAAAAGATGTCGACGTCGACTGCATCCATGACACCACTGTCGGCGACGTATGACTCCTCCCGACCCAAGCCCTCATGAACAGCGTTAAGACCTTCAAGGGCAAGGATGAAGAGAATATTCGACTCTGGGTGAGAGAGGCCAAAGTGGCTATGGCGTCCGCCACGCTCCAGACTGAGCTTCAGCGCGTGGCGCTAGCTATCTCCATGCTCGGGATTGAGCGCAAGAATGAGAAATGACGTGCGGCACTTCGGTCAAAGCGGCGTTTCTCTCCTGGACGGAGCTGAAGCTTTCACAAAGTTTCTCGCAGCCTGACCAGGTATATCGCGTGCGATCGCTTTTCCTTGCCACCCGACAGGGCAAGAAAAAAATGGTGGAGTTTGTATAAGAGATGCGTACGCTCACTGCCGGTATGGCAGCTGATCCTCTCCCCCAGGCGGCCACAGTGACCATCTTTATGGAAAGCCTTCGCACTGGCGTGGCAAGAATGGTGGAAGTCTTCCGTGTGCATCCGTCTCCGTTTGACGAGGCGGTGAATGTGGCATTTTAAATTTCAAGTCGGCACGACTTGGTTGGAATGCCCACTCTTGCAGCTCGTCGAGCGGGCCTACGCCCATGGATCTCAGCTACGCTGAGAACGAGGGAGCAGAGCTCCGAGCTGCTGGGCAGCACGCAAACGCGCGAAGGTGTTTTGTCTGTGGAAACACCAGTCACCTTCGGACTGGTTGTGCAGCGGGGCTGCCGTAGCACTTTTTGATAAGATGTGTTGATAAGATGGCAAAAACCGAAGTGAATATATTTAGGTCCTTAGA